CGCGGGTGCAACCCTCTCCAAATGAGGCAGCGCCGTTGGCCAGCTTACCGGTTTCCACTGGGTGCTGGCAGTTCATGAGTTTAGAGTTCGTGTTTGGCCTGCCGAAAGATTCGGCGGGCAACGCGAGTGTCGTGGTATTCGTCGACTGGTTGAGCAAGATGGCTCATTTAGCGGTGGTGCCAGACACCATCGACGGAGTCTGTACAGCAACGCTGTTCGTGGATCGTGTTTTCCGACAATCCGGACTCCCAGAGTCGATTGTCTCTGATAGAGACCCCCGTTTCACAGGAAACGTTTGATGACTATCTTCAAGGTGCTCGGCGCCAAGCAGACCGATGGTCAAGCCGAAAGGGTGAATCGCGTCATTGAAGACGTTCATCGCAGCGTCTGCGCTGAGACGCCGAGGCGCTGGAGCGCCGTGTTGCCACTCCTAGAGTTGCACTGAACAATGCAGTGCATTCGTCTACCGGCTACACACCGTTCTATGTGAAAGGGCTGATTCTCGCGTCCCGCAGACGCCGCCATCCCATGGCTCAGGGCATGGCGAGGGAGGAATAGCCGAACGGCTAGCTGCTGTTAGCCCCCTCACCATCCGTAAAGAAGTCGATGACGTCTTATCTACCAGACTGAGTGTCATACGACACGTTCGCAATGCGATGGCTGAATGCCAAGACCTGCAAAAGAATATGCAGATGAAAAAGAAAGAGGTAAAATGGAAACATTCAAGGTCGGGAACCTGGTCTTATTATATTCTTGAAACCTTCCTACACATGCAGTCTTTGCTGTCTTCACGACGAAGCTTCGTCCATGGTTCGTCGGACCGTTTAAGGTTGTGACCGAGCGGGGCCTAGCGTATACGCTGAACGTCCCAAAACGAATGCGCACCCATCCGGTGTTTTACGTGGGCTTGCTCAAACCGTACCGGGATCCGGCGCAAGTGAACGCGGAAGCGTTGGCACCTGAGCGGATCCCATGGGCCCTCGGCCACCCAGAAGTTGAACTAGCAACTGGTTCTGAGCATGGAGTGCAACAACCTATATTTCTTATGTCGCCGAGCGCTCCGCCGTCGCATGCAGCGACGCATTTCGTCTGCTCCACGGCTAGGAGTCGCTCCGACAGAGTTCGGTAGTCCTTATGGTGAGGCAGACGGCGCATGACGTGTTTTGAATCGTCAAAAGCGTCCGCACAACGATATGGTACTTCACCATGACGCTCAGCGGAGCTCCGATCACGAAGGACCTCGTCCTCAAAGGCTCGAAGATCATCACGAGTCACCGGACGGCGGTCGACCCGGTCGTCACCACCCGCCACCGACTCTTC